TTATACCCTTACGTGAACTGAAGGACCAAGAAGATGAGAAGTGTTCCAGGATTGTGTGGCGAAAGCAGAATTACGTCATTAGTAGATGATTACGATAGGGCTCAGGTATTCTGTAATCACTTCTGCAATGTATGTAACAAAAATAACGTTGGAAATCTCTCGGAATCATTTTATTATGCAAATCGCCACCCATTTTTTTAGTAATGTCTATATTATAAACTTTATCCAGGTCACTATTGATAACACTCTATGTTTTCCAGTCTTCCTTGTCGAAGCTTTTGTTATTTGATCTTTGTTAGTGATTTACATTTTACTGCTTGATTTTACTGTTGCATTTTGCCATACCATTGACAATAAGTTGGTGTTTGACAAAATTCGAGGTCAAGGTGTGATTCTGTGCATGACTTAGCCTTCTACTATCCGCCTGAGAAGAGTGCTGAAGCCTCTGGAACCAGACATCTGATACCGTCCTGTTGGGAATACTTTTATTCTTATTACTCGATACAATGACATCCTGCAGTCCACCTGATTACAAATAATTCGTAGTTTCTCAAGCAAATTACTTTACCCTTTGAAAGTTAATTTACCGTTATTTACTCAGTAGCGGTAAATAAATCACCAAAATAAATAGCTCTGTAAGTTTTCAAAATTGGATGCTGACCACATTAGTTAAAGCGAACTCAGCTAGCTGAAGGCGCTCGGTCATGCATACGCATCCGCCAAATTCGATCAGACAATCCTCGATATATTGATAGCATATCAAATATATCTTCGAACATCCTCACTTCTGTCTTTTGATTTCACTTGGTGAATACGATTCATATTAGGTGTTACTAGTTAAAGCGTTGTCAAACTCCGAATAATTGTGGCATCTTCAACTAGACTGGAATTCGATTTAGGTTTTCTTGAGATGCTAACCAATCATTGTGATCTACCAATCCCAGAAATAACAGTAATACAATTTAGATCAAGGAGGACTACGTGAATGCTAACGAATGTATTGTATTTGGAATTCGAAATCAGACAGGCATAAAGTACAAAGGAATCTATAGATCAAACAAACATCTCATCTTTCACAGCTTAACTAAGAATCTAAAAATCTGCAGTCAACCGAATCTCCTTTAAGTAGTTCATCATGTGTTGTTCGACTGTGTATTAGAAGGAGTAATCGAGAAGGCAGGAACATAATCGGAAAGGGACAATGAGAGAGACAGACAGACGGAAAGACTGACTGACCTGCACAGACACAGACAAAGTGACGGAGAGACGGAGAGACAGATAGCGGGAGACAGACTAGCAAGCAAGCAAGAAGGCAAGCAAGCAGACAGGCGGGAAGGCGGAAGTTGGAACGAAAGGACAGAGCCACGGACGCAGCAACGGTGACCGGACAGACAAAATGACTAAGAGGCAGACAGACAGAGAGACAGGTAGACGGAAAGACAGATACTCAGGTAGACAGAAAGAGGGAGGTTGCCTCACACACATGCAAGCAGACATCCACACAGATAGACATGCAGGTCGGATGATATTCAGTCAGACAGTTAATCTGTCACACGAGCACACAGTCAGATAGCTACTCTGTCAGGCAGTCACTTAGGCTGTCAATCACTCACTCAGTCAGTCGGTCAGATACACATACAGACAGCATGCAGACAGTCAGAATGCCTGCCTGACCAACTAAAAATCTGACTGAACGACCTACTGACTAACAGCCAGACAGTGAGTCACGCATGAACGCAAACCGTCACAGATTTCCGAGACAGATCGATATATATTGATGCATAAATACAGTCTCTGTTGTGCGTGTATGTGCGTGCATGCATGAGTACCTGTTTGCACATGAGTGTGTGACTGTGGATTGCATGAATAGTGTAAGGCTAGTGTGATAAAAGTAGCGTTTTGCGTTGTCAGGACATTGCGGTTGTGAGTGTGTTTAATGAGACGTGATGTAATGCGATGAAATGTGAAGTGAAGTGATGTGATCATTAAAGTGACAGTTTAAGTTTTACAAATGGAAGGGAGGTGGGTGAGGCCATCCGACTGACAATCACCACACACTCATGCACAGTCGATTACGGTTCGTCTTGAGTTTCAACCGAACCAGTTGCAGTGCTGAGCATCCACCCGGTGTCACAACATTCTGCATCACCCTCTCTCTCCTATTCATTATCCACCACATTACATTCAAACTACTCTTTGCGAATCATCAATCACACACGTACATCAGCACAATAGATGAGCTGATGCACAATGCCGATTCGTCCACCACCAAAATTCCATTCATTTCACTAAATCCTCTCACAACCACACTCATCTATCCTCATCTCACCAAATACACATCACACACCTCACATACTACTCATTTCGTCAGAAAACCTCATTCAGTAGACTGCAACGTCAATAGTCAAATTTCAGTGAACAAGAACACCAGTGGGGAACAGTTGAATGTATTTGACCACAAATTACAGAACCGGTTAGTAAATTCTAACAACCATATAGTAAATGCTTAATTTGCTAAACAAAAATCTACTCTCTCAAAATGGCCCACACTTCATTGTTCTTGTATTTTCATTGTGGTGATTTACTGACTGGTTATTCTGTTGGGAATATTACTGCATGGAAACGAGGTAATTAAAATAAAGTTCGTTATTCTTTATTAAATTATTTGGTATCGCCGTTTAACGTCTTTTTTCTTTGTATTTCTAATATGTACCTAGAATGCTTTGCTTTCAAAGCAGCTCTGTCAAGACATGGTAATACTTTAGGGTTGTGGAGAATGTGGTACGAATTACTATACTTTTAATTTATTTTCTTGCTGCTATACGGTCTATCAAATGATGTTTTCCGTTTCTGTTGTTTGACCAATCATTTGGTAAATAGAATGTCATTGATCCCCACGCAAATAAAAATGAGCTAAGCAATTATCGATTTAGAAGGAGATATGTATCATACAACAGCTTTCCTGTCATTACATTACATCCTAGTTGCACAGGACCCAATCAAAATCAAACAAACAATCTGTCTTTTTCCCCCAACATAATAAATATCTATTCGTTAAAAACCAAATACCATTTTAATATAGATTAGTAAATGATTCTCACGTGCTAACTAAACGTTATTAATTATTGGTCACTGGCAGAAGTCTTCCCCATTATCTTCACATCTTTTATACTGATCACATTAGGAATATTTTGTGAAGGTGTGAGTTTATCAAAAATATCTTAATTTTCGTACAGATTATGACACTTTTAGTAGAGTATAGTTGTACTATCTTCATGAAGTCAGTCATAAATGATCTTAAGAAAATGAAGCCATATTTTAGCCAATCAGAATACAAGTGATATGTATTAATGATTAAAGTTTGTATATTGAGCTCGGATCAGGATCAAAAATTCAAATTGATGTTCAGTAATAGAATGCAAGAATACTTCTTATTTAATATTGACATATGGATATGTTGCGTGTTTTTTTTGTCTTAATTTTAAATATCAAGCATCTTTAAATCACCTTCGAAGTCATGTTAAAATGTTATAGACATTTTAATTCTATTTGTTTTCGGCCAAACCATAACTTGTTGACGACCTTTGGGTGACACTAAAGTGATCTTGAGAATACCCACCTATTAACTAGAACTAATCGAGTGTTATAAAACTGTGAGGAATTAGAATTATGATTTACAGTTGATGGTTAGCGTTAGGATTTAGATTTAGAGTTTCCATCATGAACTACTTTACTTACTTTTACTTACACCTGTTACTCCTCGTGGAGGAGCATCAGCCGCTCACCAGCATTCTCCATCCAACCCTGTCCTGGGCAATCTTTTCCAGCTCCTTCCACTTGTTATTCATCTTTTTCATATCTGCTTTTATTTCCCGACGTAATGTGTTCTTTGGCCTTCCTCTTTTCCGCTTCCATTCAGGATTCCAAGTTAGGGCTTGCCTCGTGATGCGGTTTGACGATTTGCGTAATGTATGTCCCATCCATTTCCATCGTCTGTTCCTAACTTCTTCTTCAGCTGGAAGCTGGTTTGTTCTCTCCCATAAAAGGCTGTTGCTGATGTTATCCGGCCAATGGATGTTCAGTATCCTGCGTAGACAACTATTTATAAATACTTGTACATGTTTGATGATGGTTGTAGTAGTTCTCCAAGTTTCAGCTTCATACAGTAGAACTACCTTAAAGTTCGTATTGAAGATTCTCACTTTGATTTTGGCTGAAAGTTGTTCTGAGTTCCATATGTTCTTCAATTGTAGGAATGCGGCCCTTGCTTTGCCAATCCTCGCCTTTACATCTGCACCTGAACCTCCTTGTTCATCGACGGTGCTTCCCAGGTATGTGAAGAATTCTACATCTTCCAGAGTTTCGCCATCAAGAGTGATTGGATTACTATGAAAACCAATTCACCAGTGAAAATTACGTCCTTACATGTATTGTAGTGAACAGAATACGAGTGGGGACAATTGAATGTATGCAACACAAAATCACAGGACTTGTTGATAAAATCTAACAATTATGAAGTAAATGCTAAATTTGCAAAATGTCCACCAATTATCTCAAAATGACTCAGACTTCATTGTTCTTGCATTTTCATACAAAATGCATCCTATTTCCATTCTTTACTGTTCAATCCTCTTGTCTCTCTGCTGTCAGACCTTCTGTTCACGAATAACATCATATACTACTTATGTCAATATAAGTAGCATACACCACAGTATCACTGACCCAGAAAGTAATCGGAGAAAATATCGGAAAATCCCGGACATCTCACTTTTATTAAATATCGAAAGAGATGGTTGCCATCACTGCTCCAGCTCGTCCCTATTTGTGTAATTCCTGTCACGTTTATGAAATTTTAAGCGACCACCTACTTAGCTCTTAATAAGTTGCAAGTTTTCTGTCATCATATATTGAACTTAGTAGAAAATTTCAGTAATTGTTATCTTACATATGAGTGATTCGTCAGTAAATTATACTTTTGCCTTTTTAATATTCTTTGTTGAATGTTTTCGAATTATCATCATTATAATCCTTATTATGATTCAGGTACAAATACAGTGAATCAAATATGTCAAGGTGTACATGAAGGCGGTATATTTTCATTAAGTTTAACAAATAATGGATGTCTTATATCTGGTGATGGGAAAGATCGTCGTTTAGTATTCTTTGATGCAACTCTTAATCCAACTGGTCATACTGAAGAATTAGCTGAATTATATGGTGCTGTAAGAACTATTACACAAGGTCCTGGAGAATTATTAATTATTAGCACAACAAAGAATATGATACTAGAGGTAATATTTACTGTAGTATTATTGTTGCATTGAATATTGTACCGCGTGACAAGCACTTTCCTATTATTTTTTTTAGCGTAATCTCACGTTAACCGACCGTTTGATTAATGTTTAGGGGGACGACCTTGAAGTACATTTTAGCTGATGAGGAAACAGTGTTTTGTTGTGAAACGGTTTATGATGAGAAAAGAATAGAGTTTCAATACATTATTGAATATTAATGTATGAATTATTAGGGTTTTCATCAGGAAATGACATCAACTATAATACAGTAATGGATTTCTTCTTGAAACCTTCTTAGTTCACCCATAAACCTCAGTTTGCTGAATTTTCTAAAATGTAAAGTTTGATGACTCACCGCATGACAGTATCTATGTCACATATTGTGAAGACTAAATAGATCATATATCTCAAGTTCACCAGTCGGTGAGGTGTACAAACGAAGCATATCATTGGACTAAGTAAATTGATCACTAAGCCTAAGTTGAGATGTGTGTACGATTATTCGCTTTTGTCAACTCTAAAATTCCTATTCAATAGAGTGTGGCCAACCGTAGTTGAATCTTTACTGGATCAGCATACAAAATTATTTAATTCAACTAGTTGTCTGTAGTGATGTACATTTCCTCTTTTCTTTTAAATAAAGGCTGGTCCTGGTATGGAAATATGTCCTTTAATGTTTGGTCATTGTGAATAATTTTGGAGTCTTGCTAAACATCCACAAGCTCATCAATTTTTAACTGATCATTTAGTAATTCTATGGGATTCATTATCAAAACAAGCTATTTGGTCAAAAGAATTCACTGATGCTATACATTGTGCTGCATTCTATCCCCTTCAATCAGTTTAATAACAAATGGGACTATGAGTCCAGTTAGTAATAATGATAATAATATTAATGATAATAATATAATTGATGAAACAAATAATTTAGATTTCAATGTATCAATGATGAACTCACATGATTTATTAGTGGTATTAGATACAAGTACAGGACGTTGGTTAGTATTCAATTGTTTAAAACAAGAAATAATTGCTGCACATTCCGATGGACTTGGTGAACAGATCGAATGTGTTGCATATTCACCTGGTATGTTGTTATTACTGTTTGCTTTCTTTTATTCTCATATGTATTTATCTATGCATACTTTTTTGTTAAACTTGCTGTTCATTATTTCTGTCAACATTACATAGTAGTGACAGATGTCACGTTTATCTAGTTCTTTAATCAGTAGTGGTCGAATTCCATCAATCAGTTTGCTGCGTGGTTGCCCGTCTAAATAACTTGACATCACATGCACTATCTACTATGTCGGCGTGAAACTTGACAGACTGTCTTCTTTAACCTCATATTTTCTTTCGTTGAAATCATGAATCGACCTAAATCAGACCATCATTGGTAAACTGGAAGCAATGGAAGGCTGTTTCGTCCTAGTATGGGACTCCTCGGCAGTGCGAATGCATCATCCTGTGCGCGGAACTCGAATCAAGGACTTTTGGTCTCGTTCGAGAACGCCTAACCTGTAGACCACTGAGCCGGCATACAAAGGTGTTAATGTTTAACATTAGTCAACCAATGATATTGCGCGTTCATCTAATGTCTTCTGTGGGCAACTGCTTCATCCTCGTCAATTTTCATTCTTGCTAGATACTAAGACCTTTACCGATGTTTAAAATGACCTTGATAGGATGAAGTTAATCTTATAAAATAATCAGGTTTCGAGTAGTTATTCAGATGAATAATTTATTTCATAAAAATCCCCCAAAAATTATTAGGGTTGGTATAAGAAGTTAGATTTAGGAAGTCAGAGATTGTTTCAATAATCATATTCATGAATAGTTATCCAGGTATCTTTCAGTTGTCAGTTCTAAGAACAAACATAGAATTACCCTGAATAATTTGAAAATACTCAAGTGTTTTATACATTTGAATTCGATTTATTATCCATTAGTTTTATCCGTTACATACTTATCAATTCCTGATGTTTATCTCTAGAATTGGTCAATTTCATTCTTATTCCTTAGCCTGGATTTTCGACGTTTTTTCTCTTACTATATATTGATAGTTGTTACTTATTTCTTACTTACCTCTTGATGATTAGATAGAAACTATCCATTATTGAGTGATAATACTATAAATCAGAAATAAATGGTCGGTATCTATCACTGACAAACTTTGATAAGAATGAATTAATACATGTTAACTTCGACTACACTGTTCGGGAAATGAACATAGTAAGCCCTGGTTATTCTCTAAATACAATTGACAATATTAAGAGAATAAAGATGTTTTTTCTATTGATTATGATAGTATATTGTGGAAAACATTTACTGCACGGCCATTTTTGTATTTTTTTTTCGAGTGAAATTTTTTTTCATCCCTTTTGAAAAATTTTTTCAGCCCCATCTTCCAATAATTTTCATTCTGTTTTGTCCAATCAAATAACTAGTTTTGAGTTCGTTATAATTGGTCGTTTATTTCTTCAAATCGATATAAAATATGAGGATTTAATGGCAGAGCACATTTTTTTACAATTATGGACGGTAGTAACATGCGGAGTACGAGCTCCGTCGTTCCTCACGTTGTCACAGAAACCGATAACCTATTCTTGAGCACATTGTATCTCGTAGCGTTCCAATCTCTTGAAGCGTTGAAGAGCGCCATTAGAACGTATGAAAGAGCCAAGTACTGCCATTATGTGGTGAGAGATTCTCATTTACATAGAGATCGGAAGTCCTATATTAAATTCGTATGTTGGAGAAATGGCCGTAGAACATCTAGCGGTTCCTCACAGCCGAGCAGACGAACGAGGTAATTTGATTTATGTTATTGTAATTTTTCATTAAGGACTACTGTGAGCACTCAATGTCCTTCCTTCATCTTTTGTAAGTTCATTGAAGGTTACTGGACTGCTGTTCGTGGGAATGTGTACCACAATCACGAGTGCAATTCCCTAAGGTACCAAAGTAATTATTGGATGCGCAGGTTAACGGAGGTGGAATTCGAAACAGTGAGACCACTTTTGATATCTGGGACAGCGGCATTCAATATTATACACTTTGTTTACCAATCTTATAGAAAGTGTATAGATCCTCAAGATGTTTTTAATATGCGCCACAAAGTGTTCTCACAAGCCAACCTTCCTGGTAAGCAATGTGCCTATTTAAATTGTCAACGTTAGGTGATTACTCCCAATTGAAAGATCACATCATGTCGCTTGGTGGCCTCTGTGAATACGACTTAGATGGAGATAACTGTCTGTTGTATTTCTTCTTCACAACAGCAGATCAAATGAGTTTATCAAGTCGATTTTTTGATGTTGTTGGTTTTGATGGGACCTACAAAACCAATAAGGAAAATTTATATTTGTATCAGGTTGTAGCACTTGATATGAATTTCATGGCAATACCTGTTTGTATTGCATTCATTAGTTCCGAAACATCTAATTTAATTGCTCATTTCCTGTCGTTCTTCCGTCGATCAACTAACAACCGAGAGGTGGTAGGCATTGTAACAGATGATTCACCTGCAATAGCTGCTGCCATTATGCAGGTGTATCCCAATTCCCGCCACATTTTGTGTCGCGTACACATAATTCGTAATGTGTCAAGGAGGGTAAGTTTTTCGTTGCTTAACATTAAGCCATTAATCTTCATTGTAGAGGCTACGAGCGGAAACTGTACAACTTTTCTTCCGTCTGATGTTCACTAGAAATGTCGAAAGGTAAATTAAAATATGCATTACAGTCTTTTGTAGTTTCCATAGTTATCTTCCATTAATTGAAGCATCAGACGGAAATTTTTACCGATATGTGAGATATCACTTGTTGCCTAAAAAGCACAAGTGGTCAAATGCTTTTCGACCCGCAGCGATGCTCTTGGGACAAAGTAATACGAATTTCGTTGAGATAACTCATCGGATTCTTAAATTGCATAAGCTGAACAGAAGAATACCCGTGTTGAGATCAGTATTCAATGTGCTTCTTCGAACTGGATATTGGATCGATGCGCGAATGCAGAAGTATTATTGTGATTGTCGTAATAAAACAATAATCGGTCGGGAGCCAGTAATATGTCGTCTTCGGGAAAGACTTACACCAGCTGCATGTCAATTACTGAAGCGGCATTTGCGCACTCCTATCAGTGAGGTTGTAATATCCGTGGACTTGTCAACGGCTGTTGATGGTACAGGCACTTATACAGTCTGCAGTAATCCACTCAATTGTTCATGTGCTTTTTACATTGAAAACCGAATACCTTGTCGTCATATTTTAGCCTACTGCATACGCAGTAATAATGAAGTGAACACTCCGATAATTAGCGATAGATGGTTGCAATCGGACAGGTACATTACCAGTGTTGCGATTGACAATACCTCCCCTGTTCAAATAAGACAGGCAAGTGTAAGAAGATCGCTGTATGCCTTAGTTAGGTGTATGTCCGAAGAGCAATGTACAATCGTGTATAATAATGCATATCAAGTTGTTTACGGTAGGATACCTCCAGCCCCGTCCACCTTACCTGCTGGTTCAAAGTTTCAGATCGAAACCTCTACGTCCACTAATGTTACAATGCCGTCGATCCATCAGACAGCAGTTACCAGCTATCATCATAATGTTGATATGGATGAAACGTTAAGCAATGAAGAGGAAGAAATTGCTTCGATGAACTCAGAGGAGTTCACCGAACTAGACGACGACAATGACGAAAACGCGCATGACAACAGACTTTGTGATATTTGCAATCTGGCGCAACCGTCACATGAAACTGCTGATGGAAGTACCTGGATTTTTTGTCGACGTGATGCAATGTTTCATTTATTTTGTGCCTACGACCCATCAACACACGTCCATGGAATCCACTGTCCCATGTACGGCGCTATAACGGAGTCATAGCAAGTCTTTGGTTCACGAAATTCGGAACTGTTAAGAGAACGAGTAAAGGCCCTTTTCAGGGCCACCCACAATTTGATTTAAATTCTTTTGTTTCGATTCCTTATTTCCATAGCAAAGGTCAAGTGATCAAACCATCAAAATCCATTTAAGATTAATAGTCATTATGTGATTAGCACCTACGTATTCGTAAACGCTTTTTAAGCATTGTCAAATATACGGTTTAAGTAAACGATTTCGTATAGGAAATGTCATCTAATGAACACTAATCTGTCTAACAATAGTACATGCAAAACTTATTCAGAATGTTTCAGTGTTTTGTCATAAAGTTAGTTACTATAGGCAAATGTAGTACTACCAGTTTACTAGTACAACGACATCATTTCTATAGGAAAGGTCAACTGAACCAACATCGATGAATTCTAACTAAGCCTTAGTGATTAAGCAATATAATCAATTGAGATTTATAAAAATTTCGTGGATTAGATCATTAAAAGAGAATTTTGGAAAAAACTTATAACTGGTTTTAATAGTTGGTGATAGTAATAACTGACTTTGAAAGGTGGTCAAATGTTTAATACACAATTAATAAAGAAATTATTCATCGAAGTATTTCCATTAGTTTTTTCTTAACACATCGTATGTTATTTTAATAAACGTTATATGCGTAGCAACATATCCATAAATCATCATGATAAAGTAATGAATAGGGCATGCATAAATCACGCTAACCGTTAACGATCGGTAAATGAAGCAAAATAGTAATAACTTCTCTCAGAAAATAGCAAATAATATTTATGATTGGGCACTTTTCCAAACAGTAATTCTTAGTACAAAAGAGTTGTTTAGTTTTATCTGAATAATGGTGTCATAAATAAATGCAAGATTGTCAACTGAGTTATTTTGCTAATCCATTAAAAAGCGTTACTTGTTTTTAACTGTACATTCTTTGCAGTTGAGCAGTTTAAAATTTTGACAAAAAATACTTGTCTATGTAAGTAGTCATGTGAAATAGATTATTATGCTCGTCAATTGGGCTTAACAAATTTTGCACGTAATGTCAACAGCATATTTGCAGTTTAAAAATCTCCATAGAATATTCTATGTTGTTGAATAACAAGTTTTGACAGGTATTCGAAACTCTTATTACATTTAGCATGTAACATTGTTACAGATAATTGCCACATTAAATGATATAGACATTTTATAAAACGTATAAATGTATGACCATCACATGAAAGGTAGTCACGTTTTTTATTTGAATAGTTGAGATCATGAGTGAATTGATCATTTTGACGTTTGGTAAATAAATGGTAGGCTTTTATTTATTACATTGACATTACACGTACGTATACCCAAATGTCACTTGATACAATTGACTTTGTTCGTATTAAGCTGTATAATTGACATCGACATTTATTTTGTCAGACGTAGGCTTGTACTTTTACACTGAATGTAACCAATATTTCAAATACTTATCAAAACTTGTTATTCAACAACATAGAATATTCTATGGAGATTTTTTTAAACTGCACATATGCTGTTGACATTACGTACATGGCTTCAATATTATTAGTATGAACGCCGGCTGTAGGGTCGACGAAATGGCGCTTGTGCACTACGACATGATGCACATAGCCAAGTCTATGTAGGCATCTATAAGCTCTCCAGCCACCCGGCTGCACGTATTTCTGTATAATTGGTATTATTGTGCTTGCTTGCCGGTTTCTGACCCTCCGAAAATGCCCCTTCTGCGTTGATCGATCATAAATTCCAAGTACATGTCAAGTATATTTACGGAAGTGCTACTTACCCGATCTTCCTTGATACTACGTCTCCTGTTGTATTTTCACTTTCTCACTACTGTTTCATCTATCTCCACAATACATTCTACTCCTCCGAATGATTGGTGTAGACGTGTCATTGTAATTGCACATATGTCATGGCAATACTCATACCACTGGACTGCTGAAGTTTCAGTAACATCTGAAAACGCCGCAGCCAGTGTTACTGGTGTCTTTATTATCCAATGTGCAACTATTATCATGATCTGCCTCAGTTTCAGTCGCGATCGACCGAAGAAAGTCCCCGTTCGAACAGAATTTTTCCTCCAACATGAAGAACAGCGGAATACAATCTGATCACGGTAGTCTGCACACTTTACCGCAGTCATTTGATAACAGCAATCACACGTATAAGAATTTCTTAGTAGTCTCATCTCTTGTAGCCTCTCAATAATCACCTCTTCTCCAAAATCCGCTGTAAACCGATCTCATGTGAGCATCAGGTGTTGAACTTGGCTCCGTGACCTTGAAGTTGCTCAAACGCTTCTGATTGCCTTGTCCATAAATTAGAGTCTCGTCAGTGATTTAAATTGGATTGTGATCTCAATAAAATAATCTTTGTTTCATTTTCGATGCTTAATTTTTTTTATCCATTTTTAAAAGTTCATTTTACTCACAGAGTTTCGTTTTCTTCGATTTCCATCGTATGTTGTGCCTTTTCGATAAGTTTTTTCATCCCTATTTCTTTCTTTCTCTCTAGATGGAAATTACTTAGCTCTTGGTTCACGAGATAATGTTATTTATGTATATAATGTGTTAGAACGTGGCTACAAATATAATCGTGTTGGACGATGCTGCAGTTATAGTAATTTTATCCTGCATATTGATTGGTCTGTAGATGGGCGATTTTTACGTTCTTTATCAGGAGATTATGAAATACTGTTCTGGACTGCATTTGATTGTAGACAAGTAAGTGTATCTGTTTAGTAGTAGTATGTTACATTCCTTTTTAATTCAGTCAAGTATATCATTCAATCTGTCTTTAGTTTTCACGTCATCGTATTCGATAATGGATGAATTTTCAGCCAGTACATTACAAATGGCTAATAAATTTTATAAAACTAATCTATTGAAGTCTTCGGCTAAAATAAATATTTCTATTGATCTGAATTATCTGTCTTCTCTAACCCTCTGAAAGGTTAAAAAAAATCATTTTGCAGAACTTGTTAGTTCCTGGTTTGGATGTTGATCTAGAGCGTTTATTATACAGTGATTACAGGGAAAACGTTCGTCACTATCGATAACTTCCAAGTGTCGTTTCAAGGTATATTTGTACCTGGACGTTTTGTTACATTTATTGCAATGAAAATCCACTCCTTGATTAAAACGTTTTAAGTAGTATAAAAAGTCACTGCTGATTTTTTCATCACTTCTGCATATAATTCTTGTGACTTAAGGCAATATATCGAGGCATTCCGCAAAGATACACACATGTCAATAAGAGACTGATCAATTGCAGTTCTACACATCAATGGGAATATTCGAGCCACCAATACAAAAACCAATTCAAGTCTTTTGTAATAATGCATTTATTTCTCAGTGTTTATTGTTTTAGTCAAACTTTGTTAATACGCAAGTTAAATAAGTTAAAGTTGAAACGAAAGTCAGAAAAGTATCAGTTCATTTATAATTTACACCCTAGAAAGTTCTAGATTCTTCCCCTCTTACCCTTTAACTCTGATTAACTGAAAATGAGTCAACAAGCTGTAGCTCCTAAAAAAACAGTTTAAGTTTGTAAGAAAAGAACGATTCAGTTAGCGATTTTGTACATTTTTTGGTTACTGACGCAAAAGTGTTCTTAACAAAGTATACTACACTAATGAATGAGTATAAGTAAAGGCTTTATATCATCATTCACCTGATCTAAGAATAATGAGACTAACTTTATATGGTCAAATTATTGTATAAAATGAATGATTAATTCGATTGTTTCAAGTCTAGCTAACCATAAGTATGTAGTGTATGCTGCTTATATTGACAGATATAAGAAGTATTGTAATGAACGAGCACTGAAGTGGGGACAACCAATTGTATTTCAACACAAAATCACAGAGGATCTTGGTGAAATATATGAACCATACACTGAATACTTCATCTGCGAATTTCTATTGTTTGTCCTTCACATTCTGTATGATTTTTCAAGTTCACAGTTCATTTTTATTTTCCCTTATATTCACTTCAACTCGATCATCTTAGCTTTCTGTTTCCAGGTTTTCCACCTGATATTGCATACTACTTGTGTCGACAGATATAAATAACATACATCATAGTATGAGAAGTGGGTTGCCTATCAGCAGAAGGTTGAGAATCCACAACTGAAGAGAACAGACATGGAAAAAGAAATAAATCATAATAACAGCAGAATTGAATGAATCATAAAGCATGTAAAGGACAACTGAAGGAACATATTCAGATTAAGTATTTAATGTATGGTTATCATTGTTTCAAGAAAATACTCTTTAATTTTGCATTAAATAATAAATTGGTATTTCCAACTAGACTACTTCGTCCACCTGTATACAGCCACTACCAGAGAAGTTCTACCCACTGCATTCTCACAGCATTTTTGTTGTTGACGAAATTCGGAGGACGAAAAGCGAATGCCCGGCGCTTTAACCGGGTTGGGGGGTCCACCTGGAGGAGTCGAAAAACACTGATTTCAAACCAATAGTTAACATGGGCTACAGGGTCTTGAGGGAACCTATTGTTGGTCACCGGCTACCGTGAGAGTGGATCTCCTAACGTTCCACTGTCTTGTGGATTAGACCTCTCGGTGAAAGGTCCGTGAATTAGTCTCCTAAGAAAATCACCTTTGGTTCGGGCACCCGTAGAGTATTCCAGCCCTCACACAAATCGAATGATTTGTTTAGCGCATATATATTTGTTGCCACCTTGACTAATGTCCATGAATTTCGATAGAACAAATATAAATATTTACCAAGACAACTTTGACTAATAGTAATGACTCCATAAAATTATATTTCGTCTTGATATGACTGCCCCGTAACTTTCTTCCCACTCATGTACATATATATATTTCTCTTAATATATCGAGATAATGTAAATAGATTTATTTCATAGATCAAGAGATCTGTTTTTAGTATCAGGAGGGGTCTTGTGGATATTATAGTAATTTTATTAGTTGAGATCATGAGTTAATTAAAGCTAGACCACCATGGAAAACCCTGATGCATTGGACGGCGTTTCATCCTATTTCGGGGCTCCTCAGCAGTGCGCAATCACGATCTCGCCTCGCGAGATTCAAACCCATGACCTATCAGTGTCGTGGTGGATGTGTTGAAGTTAGACATTAACACTATTGGATGCCGGCCCAGTGGTCTAGTGGTTAAGCGCTCATCCGCGAGGCTGATAGTTCCTGGGTCCGAATCTCGCGAGATGGAATCGTGGATGCGCACTACTGAGGAGTCCCATAGTAAGACGAAATGACTGACCAGTGCTTCCAGATCAGTTTTTGTTAATATTACACTTTCCAATTTGTCTGGTTTTTTATTATGTCTTTCTTTCATATTATTGAATGATTTATAAGGTGTTGATGTCACAAATTTCATCATTTAATGTAATAATTGTGGATATATTTTCCTATCTCTAATTTTCAAGGTTGTCTCACCTTGTACACTACGTGATTTAGAATGGGCTAGTCAAACATGTACACTTGGTTGTGAAGTAGCTGGAATTTGGCCATCTGATTCAGATGGTACTGGTGTTAATGGTTGTGATCATAGTCCAACTGCTGATATTTTAGCTACTGGAGATGATTATGGAAAAGTTAAACTATGCAAATATCCAACTAATAAACCAAAGGTAAGATTTTTATTTTAAATATTAATTGTATATTTGTCATAACTTGTGGCCTGAATGCCCTGTTAATGGATAACGTAATAATACCGCCAATCAGACAGCAGTGAATTATCGATCGGACTAAGGACGCGTAAAACACGTGCGAACAGCCTAGAGTTCTGATTGGCCCTGCCTTCCGCCTAGCCCAGCCAGTTCAGTCAAGAACACCAATTTCAACTTCTGTAATGTGAACCATGTATTCCAAACATACTGGATTATTATACCGATCAAACAGACCACAACGTACCATAAAATAGAAAATAGCATTTCTACAAAATTTGGCCAAATCTGGCTGTGAATATGGGAGGCAGTGACTAATAGACAGGGCATAATTCAAGAATGGTAAGTTTTATAATAATAGTTCATTACTTACTTACTTACGCCTGTTACTCCTCGTGAAGGAGCATAGGCCGCTCACCAGCGTTCTCCATCCAACCCTGTCCTGGGCAATCCTTTCTAGCTCCGTCCAGTTGTAATTCATCGTTTTCATATCTGCTTCTATTATCCGACGCAATGTGTTCTTCGGCCTTCCTCTTTTTCGCTTCCCTTCAGGATTCCAAGTTAGGGCTTGCCTCGTGATGCAGTTTGACGATTTGCGTAATGTATGTCCTATCCGTTTCCATCGTCTTTTCCTAATTTCTACTTCAGCCGGAAGTTGGTTTGTTCTCTCCCACAGAAGGCTGTTGCTGATGGTATCCGGCCAATGGATGTTGAGTATCTTGCGAAGACAGCTATTTATAAATACTTGTACTTTCTTGATTGTGGTTGTTGTAGTTCTCCAAGTTTCAGCTCCATACAGTAGAACTGCCTTGACGTTCGTATTGAAGATTCTCACTTTGATATTGGTTGAAAGTTGTTTTGAGTTCCATATGTTCTTCAATTGTAGGAATGCGACCCTTGCTTTGCCAATCCTCGCCTTTACGTCTGCATCTGAGCCTCCTTGTTCATCGATGATGCTTCCCAGATATGTGAAGGATTCTACATCTTCCAGAGTTTCGCCATCAAGAGTGATTGGATTGCTGTTTTCCGCTTTGAATTTGAGGACCTTAGTTTTCCCTTTGTGTATGCTGAGGCCTACTGATGCAGAGACTGCTGCTACACTGGCTGTCTTCATCTGCATCTGTTCGTGTGTACGTGATAGGAGGGCTAGGTCATCTGCGAAGTCCAAATCGTCTAATTGATTCTGAGCTGTCCATTGTATTCCGTGTTTCCCTTCAGATGTTGAGGTCTTCATAATCCAGTCGACCACCAGAAGAAAGAGGAAGGTAGAGAGTAAACAGCCTTGTCTGACTCCGGTCCTTACTTGGAATGCATCTGTCAGCTGTCCTCCATGCACTACTTTGCACTGTAGTCCGTCGTATGAGTTCCGGATAATATTGACAATCTTCTCAGGAATTCCGTAGTGTCGAAGAAGTTTCCATAACGTCCTCCTGTCTACACTGTCGAATGCCTTTTCATAATCAATGAAGTTGATGTATAGTGATGAGTTCCACTCAACTGATTGTTCGACGATGATCCGTAGTGTTGCAATTTGGTCTGTGCACGACCGATCCTTACGGAATCCAGCTTGTTGATCTCGAAGTTGGGCGTCTACTGCATCCTTCATCCGGTTCAGCAACAATCTGTTGAAGACTTTCCCTGGTATTGACAGTAGTGTTATGCCTCTGTAGTTTTCACATTTGCTCAGATCTCCTTTCTTTGGAATCTTGACGAGGTGTCCTTCTTTCCAGTCCATTGGCACTTGTTCCTCCTCCCAAATCTTTTTGAATAGAAGATAAAGCATGCTTGTGGTTGTTTCGATGTCTGATTTCAGTGCTTCAGCTGGTATGTTGTCGGGTCCTGCTGCTTTCCCGTTCTTGATTTGTCTGACGGCCATTCTAATTTCTTCCGTAGTTGGTGGATTGACATCTGTAGGAAGATCTATTTGTGCTGCTTCGATGTCCGGTGGATTCATTGGAGCCGGCCTATTCAGGAGTTCCTCGAAGTATTCTACCCATCTGTTACGTTGTTGTTGAATTTCGGTGATTGGCTTGCCTTCTTTGTCTTTGACCGGCCTCTCTGGTTTACTGTATTTCCCTGATAGTTTCTTCGTTGTATCGTAAAGCTGTTTCATATTTCCTTCTCTAGCAGCTTTTTCTGCCGTCGTTGCTAGTTCTTCCACGTATTTCTTCTTGTCGGCTCTAATGCTCCTCTTCACTTGTTTGTTTGCTTCTATGTATTCAGCTTGTGCTTGGACTTTCTCTGCTAGTGTTCGGCTGTTGTTTATTGCTGCCTTCTTGTTCTTCCCTTCTTTGATCTTGTCCACTGTTTCTGTAGAGATCCATTCCTTATGATGGCATTTCTTTAGACCGAGAACCTCTTGACACGTTGAAGTTAATGCTTCCTTGATGCCTTTCCAGTTGTCCTCCATAGTAGTTTCTTCTTCTTTCAGTAGATCTCGTAAGGCTTGGAACCTGTTGTTGAGAGCTGTCTTGAATTCATTGAGTTTGACAGTATCTCGAAGGAAGGCTGTATTGAACCTTTGTATTGCTGTTTGTCCACCTGTCCAGTTCTTTTTTAGCTTCAGTTTCAAATTGGCTACAACTAGGTGGTGATCTGAAGCTACGTCAGCTCCTCTCCTGGTTCTCACATCTTCAATTGTCCTTCGGAATTTTTTGTTGATGCAAATATGATCTATTTGGTTCTCTGTAGTGTGGTCCGGTGAGATCCATTTAGCCTTGTGTATACGCTTGTGTGGAAATATTGTGCCTCCTATGACCAATTTGTTGAATGCACATAGATTTGCAAATCTTTCTCCATTTTCGTTTCTTTCTCCCAGTCCATGTCGTCCCATAATATCTTCATATCCAGTGTTGTCTATTCCGACTTTGGCATTTAGATCTCCCATTAGAATGGTGAGGTCCTTTCTTGGGCATTTCTCTATCACTGACTGCAGCCGCTCGTAGAATTGATCTTTAATGTCGTCGTTGCTATCATTAGTGGGTGCATAACATTGGATAATATTCATTAAGATCCCCTCCTTCTTTGTTTTGAATGATGCTTTGATGATTCTGGATCCGTGAGATTCCCATCCTACAAGTGCATTTCGTGCTACTTTGGACAGCATGAGAGCGACTCCCTGAGTGTGTGGAGCATTGTCCTCTTCGTGACCGGAGTATAGCATCATCTCTCCCGTAGCTAGCCTTTTCTGTCCAGCTTGGGTCCAGTGGGTTTCGCTGATTCCCAGTACTGCTAAGTTGTATCTCCTCATTTCCATTGATATTTGACTGGTCTTCCCGGTTTCCCACATTGTTCGAACGTTCCATGTACCTATAAAAATTTTTGCTCTGGTTGTTAGAAGGGGCATCGGCCTCGTGGCTTCCGAAGGAACTCGGCTTTCACCATGAAGCGTCATAATTCTTCTAAATGAAGACCTTCTAACTCCCAGGGCAGAGTTAAAATGGTTTGGATTATTTTTTCTGGTAAGCGTTTTTTTAGCGAGTTAGTTTTCTACGGGATGGGGACGCTAACCCCATGCCCAACCCTCCTCCTTTACCCGGGCTTGGGACCGGCAGCAACCCTATAAGAGCTACAGGCGGAGTTAATAATAGTTCATAGGTCAAAATAAACAAAGAGAGTACACGTTGTAAAAAAGGATAGTTAGATGAATTTGAAATGGATAACATTCAATGAACTCCTGATTATTGTCTTGTCTACTGAAAAATCTAATATAATTGGGTTCCAGAAATATTTTAGAAATAAATGAGCCTTGTGACTTGTAAATATTAAAAAAAAGTGTTCTTATCCAAAAAGAACTGATAATGAACACTTAAAGTTGATCATATGTGATATGAATTGTGTATCCTGATGTTGTGAAAGTATAACTTTGAACAAAGCAACTATTAAGTTTACTCTAACTGTTGATGATATTTATTTAGTTAATATTAGTCTGTCAAAAAAGATATCATCTTTAATATTTATAACCTGAATTAAGTCAATTTAAAATGAACTATACATATTACATTACTGATAAGTCTTGCTAATTGAACGCTATATTTGGTGCCTAATCTATTCTCGTAACCCCCAAGCTAGAACTAAACAGCGACCTGTACACGAGAGAAAAGGCACAAAATATACGAAAAGCACTTTACTCCAAGAGTTCGTTTTTAGTACAGAAAATACAGATTTTTATAGTATTTTAGATATGATTAGGCTTCCCGAAAATTCTGGAATGCTACTTAACATGGTAGCAGTGTATTATTCAGCCAATCAGAGACTCTACATGTCACTTTTCACTTTCTTGATGTTTCCCTCCCAACTTCTAGTGAACTCTGATCGGATAAAATGCTTCTTAGTTGTTTTTTGAAACTTTCTTGTCTTTTGTGAGACGTTTTCTGGATCACCCCAACAATTACCATTAACTTATATATGATTGAAAGGAAATGTTCTAACAATAAGGGACAAGATTCACAGTTCACAATTTCACATTTAATACGATTCTAGATAAATCATTTAATTTAAATACTAGTTCACTAGATTAGATACTGAATCAATGGATCATTTTACTTGATATTATATAGGTGCATTATGCAGTTGAGTTAGCTATCCGATAAACAATCAAGAACCAGACAGAATCTAAAAGGACAATTTAATAATACATTATAAAACGGCCAATAAATGGAATGAAAATGAAAAAAAAGTAACCAGTCTTACAGACAAACGACAGTCTTTTGTATTTCATGTAAACACATATGTCCATCTTTTCTCAGTGGCTAATCATGACTTACTTTTTAGTCAATAAATCTGAAAACTACCATAATGTGTTCAGTAGTATTGTTTTGATTCTGATTCAAAGTTTTCTGGTCGTTTCAATCTTCTGCCAGTCGAAACGGTACCAAACAACGGAAGCGCATATGCACCATTAGTATTAGTTTGTAATCAGAGTTTCTTCGTTTAATTCGCCTAGGTAGATACTGAATACCCAAGAACCCTGTTTAAGTTCTGGACATTCACTTTCCGTCTTCTCAGTTTCGCAAACATGACACAAGAAACCACATAATTATTGACATCAACCGATATTCTATTTGTTATGTCCTATATCCCGTTAAATATTGTGTTACGAAATCTCCAATGAGAATGCGACTTCTACGACCTTGTGTTTGTGCTAAACCAACGATATATCAACAAGCACTAACAGCCTTGAGTTAACTCTGAGTTTTTATCGATCCTTTGCATGGTAACTTCCCGCCTAACCCGTCCGGTTAAGTTCAGAATACAGATATCAGCCTCCGCTATATGAGTCGTATATTTCAGATATATATGGTTTATATACAAACAGACCAGACCCCATCACAAAATGAAATAATAAATTATTATTATTATACAAAATCAAGCCAAAAGTTCCCGTGAGTGTGAGAGATTATAACGAATGGATTAAGAATAAGTTAAGATTGATAAGTCGTATGACACTAGCTATTAAGTCAAATGAAGGTTTATGGTGAAAAGAATACGAACATGTATATAATTTAGTTGCAGGAATATATGTGTTAATAATAATCCATAAATAATTCCAGGCAGTTACTATTCATTTATTCTTCGTTCTCTAGTTTGATTTCTGTCATATCGGTTAATACATATTTATGGTATCTATTTGACATTTTGACAGAATGTTCGTTCTACTTGTCTAATTGTATACGACTCTAATGAACATCCTATAAATAATACGTACATATATATATATGAGTTTAAACAAATGAAAATCAGATGACACATATTGTGTTTATGTAATATCTGCTGTTTGTAATATAATGTCCCCTTTTCGTTTTTACATTATCAATGGTCCTTTCAATTTTCATAGTATTATGTTTTTACGTTAAGTGTATTTTGGTAGTGAATTCCTTCAAAAGGTGATGGTTGATTACATGTTAACATAATTGTGTCATCTTAATTGTTTTCAACTTGTTAACAATAGGGTATATGGATCAAGATTCTATATAGGATTGAATTTGAGGATATTTCAATCTTCTGATGAATAAAATGTTCTTAAATAACAGGATTAAAGTTAGTTTATTAAGTCGTTGATTGTTGGATTAGATCATATTGATAGGTGTAGTCTATCAGGTTAGAGTCATCCACATATATATCTTTATGGTTAGAAACGATGTATAGTATAACTTTTGTATACTATTTAAACACATAAACATTCGTACAAGGAGGCAGTGAATATATATGTTGGGACACTGACCAGGTGCCCAAACCTAAGCAGGTGGTTTTCTTAGGAGACCACTCCACGGACCTTTGACCTATAGGTCTAATCCATAAGACAGTAAAACAACATTAGGAGATGCAGTCCCATGGTAACCAGTGACTAACGATAGGTTCATAGGTCAATTTTTCTCTCAGGATCCTGTTTAACTACTAAATAAATCATACAGTTACAGATTAGGTGTATGCAGAGGTTTAATTAAAAGAAAATAATAATGATATTAACCATAAACAAGTTCATATTAATCACCTTCACCATTACATCAATTATCTTTATCATTTTCTATTTCAGGCTGAATTTCGTGCTTATAATGGTCATTCAAGTCATGTGACAAATGTAACATATTTCTATGATGGATCTAGATTATTATCAACTGGGGGCAAAGATACAGCTGTATTACAATGGGACGTATGCATTTGACACATGATATTATCTGATAAATACAGTCATTTATTTAATCATTTTTTCTTCTTCAATATTGTTCATAGTTATTATTCTCTTTTTCTATTCATACTTACCATATCATCCATCTACAACTCAATGATACGTTTGAGGGCAATAAAATAAAGAGTCATTCTAATGTTGTCTGTACGCTTTTCTGATGCCTTCAAATTTAAATGTATTTGTCACAATCATTCATTATTCATAAAGTGTGGTCATGTATGTGTGCAATACATTTACAATTACAGAAGAATACAATCTAGCATAGTGAATTTATTATTATTATTATTATTATTATTATTATTATTATTATTATTATTATTATTAAAATCCTTGTATTTGTGAAGTCGATTATTTCTGTTTCCTGAATTTTTACACTAATGATGTTTATATGTTATTAAAATGGGGAAACATCTTGGGGATCATGTACACATACACAAACACGCACACACATAAATACATTGGCAAAACTACGAATAACACTAAATGTGTTGACTGTTATATTGACTTCTATCAATGTCGAAAACATTCGATAAAAGAATTAAACAAAACACAAAAGGTATTTACCAGTGTTTTCTCACAGGTCCTATTTTGTTTCTTGTCTTTAAAATTTCAAACATTTACTGTTTACTATCTACATTCCACTCTATTTCCTTCTATTACCTTATACAGGCATAGAGAGATTTGATTTTAAGTTCATTCATTGTTTGTATTTTTAATAATAATAATGAGGAGGAGGGGGAGGAGATTTTTCTTTGTGTGGCTTTTTGTTTGTTTTCTTCTATATCGATATTGTGTGTAAATGGGTGAGTTGTTATGAATGAATGGAGTATGGTTTTCAATTCTGTTCCTTCTTCTCTTTGTGGTCATTGGTTTATATACAGAAAGATGTTTTAAAACAATTTATTATCCGAGTGATATTACATATATATATATATATATATATATATATATATATATATATATATATATATATATATATATATATATATATATATATAGACAGATAGATATATTTCTTGACTTTAATTAATGTTTCCTTCCACAGTTTATTTATTTCATCGTCTGTTCTTGACGTTGTCAAATTTATGTCTTCTTTATACTACACATACACAGATAGATAGATCAGGTTTATGTGGATCAATTTCAATTGTGTTTTCCTCTTTTGGTGTTTGTTGTTCTTTCTTTGATTAAAACATTGACTTTTGAATTTGTGCATAATTTGCTTAAATAATGTTCATTTGATCTTTGAAGAATGAAATAAATAATTTTTTTTCTCCTATAGTGTAATTCATATATTCTCTTAGTGTTTATTACTTGAAGTTTGTTGATCTATAAAGTTCAAAGTTATCTATTCAATATTGATTATAGTTGGATATATAAACCTTTGGATATTAAGATAATGATCTAGAATTGTAACTTACTCCTCTAAAGACTTGGAGGTCCTAGGTTCCTCATATTTAGAAGGATTCAGAGTACACTCTGTTAATGAGGGCTGAACGAAAATCATTTTCAAAAGACTATATGATATGAAATTTCACAAAAGCAGTCTCGTTCATAACCTGTTAGATACTAAGGTAAATATATACAAGTATAATATCGTTACAGAGTATTTCCTGTTGAGTAAGCGTTGTGTTTGACAAATATTAATTAATTTGGCTTCTTAACATCATTCTAGTAAATAGATATCGAACAACCGACAAGATATCTATTTTACCAATATTTTTGCCTTGAACGTACACGAGTTTTGGTTAGTAAGTTATAAATATTAGTTCAAGTCATTCTGAATGTTGCTGTAATCTAACGAAAGGGGGCCTCCAAATGCCGTAGTACGATCGAGAGTTCGGAGAGTTAGCCCTCCCTTTCGAAATGCTCTCACATGGCTAAGTGCATATAACCACTGCCAGGGAAGTCCTGCTCACTGCCTTATCGCGGCAGTGTTGTTTACGAAACTGTGAGGACGGAAAGCGAATGTCCCGCGATTTAGCCGAATCAGTTGACACGGCGAGTCCACCTAGAGGAGTTAGAAAACCCTGGTTTTAAACCAATGATGGACATGAGCTCCAGGATGTTGGAGGAACAAATGCCGCATGAGCCTATTGTTGGTCACCAGCTACCATGGAACTGCATCTCCTTACGTTGCTCCACTGCATTGTGGATCAGATCTCTAAGTCGAAGGCCCCGGGTGTGGTCACTTAAGAAAGCCACCTGCTTCGGTTTGGGCACCCGTAGAGTATCCCAGCCCTCAGTCAGTCAGTCAGTCAGTCAGTAACAACGTAGAATTTCGTACGTACGTACATCATTTCGAGTCGCCACACCACATAAGCACAGTGATGCAGTTGTTTATTGAAATTTCGCAGTGGTAGAGGCAGTAACGACAGACCCTGTAACAGCCAAGAATGTTGCCTTGTTGGAAGATACTCATTTAAGGATGTTGCGCCAAAAATGGGCCCTAACTCGAAGTCTTCGGCAAACTATTCGAAATCTTGAGGTAAGTGTTCATTCATCTCACACCGTAAGATGTAGTTCATTGTTTCTATTGACAATCTACTAAATTTCATTTCTCGGAGCTTCTTAACCTCGGGGATTTTACTTTACCAACAGAAGCTTAATAATGGTGCGAAATTCTCCATACCGTACCTCAGAAGTACATAAACCTTGTAAAGGCTCTTTACTCGAACACTAATTGAACCAGAGCTTATGGCGAACTGTCAACCTCAAGTGATATCCGTCAAAGCTGTCCACTTTCTCCATTTTTATCTCAGTCAGTAACAACGTAGAACTTCGTTCGTACATACATCAGTTCGAGTTGCCACACCACATTAGCACAGTGATGCAGTTGTTTATTGAAATTTCGTAGTGGTAGAGGTAATAAGAGTATAAGCATAATCGGGAAGATGAGTGTTTGGAGATGTTACTTAAAGAGTATAATACAGTGAAATAAATTTGAGAGGAAAAAAAAGAGACAATGAGGAATCAGATTAAAATTTGGGAGAACACAAAGAGTGTATGCACCTGCGCCATTGCAAACGATTTTGAGCCATGTCATTCAGGCTCTCTAACCATCAGTTGCTATCATCTCGCGGTCCCCAACCAGGTAGTCTACACCTACCGACACGACTCAGACCACTTGTCAGTGACTTCATGGACTTGTGCCATGTTTTGGTCTGGCCGCCCCTAGCTTTCTTCCAACCTACTCCTATACCACTGAACATCGCACGTCGAGGCAGTCGGTGGTTGGGCATAGGTAACACGTGTCCCAGCCATCTCAACTGACGGAGCTTCACTACTTCGTCAATCGATTTGCCATCATTACCTAGTACCCGTTTCCTAACAACTGCGTTACTTACTCGATGTTCCCAGGATATACGAGCAATGTTTCGTAGACACCTATGATCGAATACTAGTAACCTACGAATATCCTCTACTCTTACCGGTTACGTTTCACTGCCATAACGTAGGACGGAACGAACTGCTGCTCAGTGAACACGTCCTTTGTTTGATAGACGGATATCTCGTCTACGTCATAAATGACGCAAGTTGACTAAAGCTAGTCGAGCCTTCTGTATCCGTGCTGAGATTTCGTCACACACCAGACCACAAGGGCTGATGATACTTCCAAAATAAGTGAAGCGATCGACACGCTCAACTACTTCACTCCCTATCATTAGTTTGGATGTCAATGCAACCCAATACTGAAGCAACATTTTGCATTTTGAGGGGGAGAATCGCATGCCAAACATGTTTGCATTACTTTTTAGAGTGGCCAGAAGACTGCATTTTGTCAGCGTCTTCACCAAATAGAACTATGTCATCGGCATATTCCAAGTCAATAAGTGAATCTCCTGGTAGAAGTTCAACCCCTGGAAATTTAGATGAGGAAAGTGTCATCTCTAAAAGCACGTCAACAACAAAGTCGAACAAAAATAGAGTGGATAGCCCTGACGAACGCCACTTGAGTTAATCAATTCTGATGACAGTTCGCCATAAGCTCTCACTCTACCAGTAGTGTTCGAGTAGAGAGCCTTTACAAGGTTGATGCACTTCTTTGGTACTCCTTTCAGTGACAAACACTGCCACAGAACCTCAGGCAGTCAGCTACAACGTATGACCAGGCACATATATGCATCGGTCCAGGTTGCCGTACCGCATTAGCACAGCAAGATGAACACCGGATTCATAGGAGTGGTTAGGTCAAAGGTGGTAATATATAGGAGAAAGATTGCATATGAGGATACAGTACAGTCAACAGAGTCGAATGCAACCTTAAGGTCGAGAAATACTACGATTGTGGGGCGTCTGAACGTGTGTCTGTGTTCTAGAACCTGACGTAGTGTGAATATCTGATCTATACAACCACGTCCAGGTCGAAAACCAGCCTGATTTTCTCTAGTCTGTTCTTCACGAGGTTTAGTTAGGCGTCGGAGTATTATTGAAGCTAATATCTTAGACACTATATTTGTCAAACTGATTTCTCTGTGATTGTCACAAGAAGACTTTTGTCCTTTCTTATAGACTGACACAATCAGTAATTTAGACCAGTTCCCAAATTCTACCTAAGACCTCAGTTAATCTCACTGCTAATACCGGATCATTATCCCTAAAAATCTCGGAAGTAAACCTGTCAGGGCCTGCTGCTCTCCCTCACTTCAGATTTGCGATAGGTTTTTCAACTTCATAAAGAGTCGGAGGACCTGCATTAACTCGCCATTCAGGTCGACGGAGATCGTGGGAAACCAAAGTGTGGCTGAAGGCCAGTTGAACTGATCCCTAAAGTGTTCTGCCCATCGATCCAATCTCCTAGATTGAGAATGTATAATATGTCCATCTTTCTCTGAGATTGTTTCGCTAACAGTCGGGTTCCTAATGCCGGTTTCCTTAACGAGTCTGAACAATTGTCTGCTATTACCTATTGCCGCTGCCTTTTCCATCTCTCTTGCTTTCGCTACCCACCACTGTTCACGATCATTACATAGGCT